GCAGCTTCTGGTTTTATGTCCAGCAGGTACGCAGGATTTAAGGCAAGCAACGGTCGACCACAGGGCAGTTTAAGTAAATTGACAAGTTTTTTCTAAGTGCAACTGAACGGTTTAAGTAAATTGAAATGACCCAAGCAACACACCCGAAACCTTAAAACCCTAAAACCCGAAAACCTTTAACCCTAAACCCTAAAAAGCTTTTGCTGCTCTCCCAGAAGCTTTAAGAAGGGTCTTGGCAGTGGGCTACAGCCCTTTCAGAGCCTCCTCCCCAGCCCACAGAGCAGCTTTGCCTGCCCTATCAGAGGCTCTAAGAAGGGTCTTGGTAGTGGGCTACAGCCCTCTCAGAGCTTGCAAGAGGGTCTTCCCCAGCCCACAGAGGAGCTTTTGCTGCTCTCTCAGAGGCTCCAAAAGCATTTTTCAGAGGCTCTGCTGCTCTCTCAGAGGCTCTAAGCTGCCCTATCAGAGGCTCTAAGAAGGGCCTTGGTAGTGGGCTACAGCCCTCTCAGAGCCTGCAGGGTCCTCCACAGCCCACAGATGAGCTTTTGCTGCTCTTCAGAGGCTGTGCTGCTCTCTCAGAGGCTCTAAGCTGCCCTATCAGAGGCTCTAAGAAGGGCCTTGATAGTGGGCTACAGCCCTCTCAGAGCCTTTTGCTGCTCTCTCAGAAACTCTAACCTCCTCTCTCAGAGGCTCTGCTGCTCTCTCAAAGGCTCTAAGCTGCCCTATCAGAAGCTCTAAGAGGGGTCTTGGTAGTGGGCTACAGCCCTCTCAGAGCCTGCAAGAGGGTCTTCCCCAGCCCACAGAGGAGCTTTTGCTGCTCTCTCAAAGGCTGAGGAGTCTTGGTAATGGGCTACAACCCTCTCAGAGCCTGCAAGAGGGTCCTCCCCAGCCCACAGAGAAGCTTTTGCTGCTCTCTCAGAAGCTCTAAGAACCTCTCTCAGAGGCTCTGCTGCTCTCTCAGAGGCTCTAAGCTGCCCTATCACAGGCTCTAAGAGGGGTCTTGGTAGTGGGCTACAGCCCTCTCAAAGCCTGCAAGAGGGTCTTCCCCAGCCCACAGAGTAGCTTTTGCTGTTTTTCAGAGGCTCCAAGAGCCTGTCTCAGAGGCTCTGCTGCTCTCCCTATCAGAGGCTTTAAGAGGGGTCTTGGTAGTGGGCTACAACCCTCTCAGAGCCTGCAAGAGGGTCTTCCCCAGCCCACAGAGAAGCTTTTGCTGCTCTCTCAGAGGCCCTAAGAGCCTCTCTCAGAGGCTCTGCTGCTCTCTCAGAGGCTCTAAGCTGCCCTATCAGAGGCTCTAAGAGGAGTCTCGGTAGTGGGCTACAGCTTTCTCAGAGCCTGCAAGAGGGTCTTCCGGTCCACGATTACGTGGAATCGCCATCGCCACGGCGACGAATCCACTTCAGAGCCTCCAAGAGGGTGTTGCTGCTCTCTCAGAGGGGATCCAGAAACACTCCAGCGCCCTTAAGAGTTTAGAGTCTTAGTCTTGGCCACTGAGCCAAACTGGCTCAGAAATTGAGGGTTCCAAGACCATTAGTATTAGTAAGTATTAGTGGCCCCAGCCCCAGCCCCAGCAGCCCAAGCACCAGCCCCCCCAGCCCCAGCCCCAGCCCCAGCCCTGCCCTGCCCTGCCCCGGCCCCGCGCCCTGGCTGTGGGAAGGTACCCCGGCCCCGGACCCTGGCTGTGGGAAGATGCCCCGGCCCCGGGCAACAAACCCCAGCAAACCCTCAACAATAAGAAAGCCTCAATTTAGTCTAGCCCGAACCAACAGAGAGCAATCGCGGAGCAGACAACGGGGCAGACGACGAGTTTGAAGGCTTATGCAACGGCCCACTAAAAGCAGTGAAACCACAAGCACCCCCAAACCCCAGCAATCCCTCAACAATAAGAAAGCCTCAATTTAGTCTAGCCCGAACCAACAGAGAGCAATCGCGGAGCAGACAACGGGGCAGACGACGAGCTTGAAGGCTTATGCAACGGCCCACTAAAAGCAGTGAAACCACAAGCACCCCCAAACCCCGGCAATCCCTCAACACTAACAAAGCCTCAATTTAGTCTAGCCCGAACCAACAGAGAGCAATCGCGGAGCAGACGACAACTGTTAAGGCTTAAGCAACGGCCCCTCAAAGCAGTGAAACCACAAGAACCACCAAGACCCGGCAATCCTTTTACACTCACAGGGCTCTAAACCTAACTTAACCCGACCAAACAGAGCGCAATCGCAGGGCACACGCAAAACTTTAGGACCTAAGGACCAGCCCCCCTAAAGCAGAGCAAGCCTTCGTGGGAGATGCTCGGGGCGCCTGTGAGCGCAGTCCACATGGACCCCCTTAAGGCAGAGAAAGCCTTCGGGTGAGATGCTCGCACTCGGACCCCTCCGCCTCCGAGCCCCAACCCACCTCGCACCCCTGAAACTTCGCGAGGGGGGACCCGGCCGCGCCAGAAAAAGTTCAAAGGTTTCGATCCCCAACCCGGAAAAAGTGCCGGAAAACATGATTGTCAAAAACCGCCGTTTTTACCAAACCCCAGCAAACCCATAACAATCAGAAAGACTCAATTTAGTCTAGCCCGAACCAACAGAGAGCAATCGCAGTGCAGACAACGATTTTAAGGCTTAAGAACCAGCCCCTATAAAAGAAAGGGATGCAGCTGCTGGCTTCGCGTCGGGCCCTGGCTGTGGGAAGGTGCCGGCACCGGGCCCTGGCTGTGGGAAGGTGCCCCGGCCCCGGGCCCTGGCTGTGGGAAAGTGCCCCGGCCCCGGGCCCTGGCTGTGGGAAGGTGCCCCGGCCCCGGGCAACAAACCAGCAATCCCTCAACAATAAGAAAGCCTCAATCTAGTCTAGCCCGAACCAACAGAGAGCAATCGCGGAGCAGACAACGGGGCAGACGACGAGCTTGAAGGCTTATGCAACGGCCCACTAAAAGCAGTGAAACCACAAGCACCCCCAAACCCCGGCAATCCCTCAACACTAACAAAGCTTCAATTTAACCTAGCCCGAACCAACAGAGAGCAATCGCGGAGCAGACGACAACTTTTAAGGCTTAAGCAACGGCCCCCTCAAAGCAGTGAAACCACAAGAACCACCAAGACCCGGCAATCTCTTAACACTCACAGTGCTCTAAACCTAACTTAACCCGAACAAACAGAAAACATTCGAGAGGCAGACGCAACACTTTAGGACCTAAGGACCAGCCCCCCTAAAGCAGAGCAAGCGTTCGTGGGAGATGCTCGGGGCGCCTGTGAGCGCAGTCAACATGGACCCCCTTAAGGCAGAGAAAGCCTTCGGGTGAGATGCTCGCACTCGGACCCCTCCGCCTCCGAGCCCCAACCCACCTCGCACCCCTGAAACTTCGCGAGGGGGGACCCGGCCGCGCCAGAAAAAGTTCAAAGGTTTCGATCCCCAACCCGGAAAAAGTGCCGAAAAACACGATTGTCAGAAACGGGCTTTTTTACCAAACCCCAGCAAACCCTTAACATTAAAAAAAGACTAAATTTAGTCTAGCCCGAACCAACAGAGAGCAATCGCGGAGCAGACAAGGAGTTTTAGGGCTTAAGCGCCAGCCCCCTTAAAAGAAAGGGATGCAGCTGCTGGCTTCGCGTGAGATGCTTAGGGCGCCTGTTAGCGCAGTCTCAAAAAACTGCGCTGGCGAACCCTAAACCCTAAATTCGTGTGGTGCAGACTGCCAGCACTTGTTGAATGAATTCCTCCCCGCAGTGGCTCGCCAGTGAAACATGATCTGCAGCGGAGACGATGAAAGCTACAGCAATTGTACGCAGCAGGACCAACAACGTGCAAGTAGACCACGACTTCACCTGGATAAATGACTAATGCGTCCATTAGAATCCTCATCGCAACCACGATAGCTTATGAGTCTTTTGTCGCAGCCCTTACATGAAGCCAGGAAGACAAGGAAGAAGCCAGGAAGAGGCCAGGAAGAGACCAAGGGTGGGGCTGGGGCTGGGGTGCGGGGGCCGGGGCCGGGGTAGGGCAGGGCAGCAAGCAGAGGGGCAAGGGCGCAGGGGCAGGAGGGGGCAAGGGGGCAGGAGGCAGGGGGGCAGGGGCAGGTCAGGAAAAGTGAAAACGGGAAGTCAACAAAGGCGGTTTTAAAGCAAGGGGCGCCGTTTGAAAGGTAGGGGCGTGCCCATAGCAAAAGAAACGTTTTTAAAAGCTAGGGGCGCCGTTTAAAAGCTAGAAACGTTTTTAAAAGCTAGGGGCGCCGTTTAAAAGCTAGGGGTGTTCCCATAGGAATAGAAATTGCTTCCAAGTGCTCAAAAGCGGAATTGACCAGGGCGCCAGCACTGCGCTGGCGAACCCTAAACCCTAAACCCTAAACCCTAAACCCTAAACCCTTAACCCTAAACCCTAAACCCTAAACCCTAAACCCTAAACCCTAAACCCTAAACCCTAAACCCTAAACCCTAAACCAAACGCGCACCTGGTGCGCGTCGTCCTGCCCAAGGTAGATCCTACAATAAAGCGAGAAATGCAAGGGGCCTCCATCTGCATTTCGAGCCCAGTACTACTCAGAGAAGGTACCACCTAGAGGAGTACAATAGTAAGAATAATTACCCTAAACCGTTGGACTTTTGCTCGGGTGCGCTTTTGCGCGGGTGCCGGTTGGACTTTTGCTCGGGTGCGCTTTTGCTCGGGTGCGGGGTCACTCTTACGAAACATGGACCTTCGAGTGCTCCTGTGTGCTTAAAGACGTCGGGGCCACATTCTGCAGCAAAACAGCGCCGTTCTTTTCGCGTGCCACATTCTGCAGCAAAGCAACACCGTTCCTTTCGTGCGCTTGTCCCATGCCGTCTAAATCTCTCTGCCGACTGATTCCACTTGCTGCGTTGCATGGACAGGACCTGCCTTGTCGGTGGTGGTCCTCTGGATAATTGCTCGCTACCTGGCGGGGACAAGCAAGTGTATTCACGTGCATAACTTAGACCAACACGACTCTTCACAACATTTTTCGTCGGCGGTGCTCAAATGCCGCTGTTCGGCTGGGATCACCTTCAGCGAAGCGTTACCGGAGTGAAATGCTCCCGCGTCAGCATGCCCCCCAGCAGATAGGAGCGCGCGTTGCGCACGCGGCTGAGAGCTGTATACCCGACGGCGGGCATGCCTGCGGTGTCCAAGTACACAATGATGAAATCGAATTCGTCTCCCTGGACTTTATGTACCGTGGTGCAGAACCCAAGTCTGATCGGGTAGTACACGAGCTTCGAGTGATCTGGATCGTGCCATGGGGTGATGGGCAACCGTTTGCCCGTCTCTGTTCGTACCCATAAGATCTTGCGCTCCATGTCGAAGGATAATACTTTGCATTGCATGCCATTGACGTAATCGTCGGCCTTGCGCACGTTCCTGGTGAGATAAAGCTTCAGTCCCTGGTGGATGGGAACATCGGTTGTGACCAGATGCTGGTCGTCCACGAGCGTGCCGTCCTTCTTGTAGTTGTCCGGGTTGTCTTCGAAGGCACCTGGTAACGTCACTACTGGCTCTGCGCGCGGGTGCAGGGCCTCCAAAGCAAGCTGGTTGATCTGCGCCACCCCTCGTTTCGTGGCCGCCACCCAGACTGCACGCGGGTGGTCCCGCAGAAGTCGCTTGACATCTGCGACGCTCGGGTCTTGCCCGACCCATGCTTTGTGGCCTCGACAGATCTTCTGCAGCTCTCGGGATGTTGGCATGCAGGTGCGGAGCAGATCCAACATTTCCAAGAAGCTCTTGTCGGTTGTGCGCCACACCTCCGTCAGCTCCAAGAAGTAGAGCGTGTCGGGCTTCCATGCGGGACTGTCCCATGGGCGCGTTGGTTCGATGCCTGGGAGTTGGTACTTGTCGCCGGCAAAAATCAAGGCGGGGAAGTTGTCTGCCGCGCCCCACATGTGCAGAATCCGTTCAAACTGCTCTTGTGATAGTTGCGAAAACTCGTCGACGATGACCAACGCAAACCCGTGCATGGCGTACATCACTTCCTGTTCGGGTTTGTGAAATTGAAAGGCTGCTGCCGCTGTCTCCACAACCAGCAACTCGTGTGACCCAAGTTTTTCCGCCATGCGGGTTGATTGCCTTGCCGTCGGGATGGTTACCAGCACGGACCCGCCGGCTGCCAAAGCTGGACCGCGGCTTGTACCCACGCCAGGCGCACCTCCTTGACCATCTGGAACGTATGCTTCACGAGGCGCTCCGCGTTCGCCTTGAGCACCTCCTCGTTTTCTGTGCTCGGCAACAGTCCGGCACGCTCCCAAACCATTCGGCGAAGCTCCGCGGGGAGGGCTTTGCTCACGGCCAGGCGTTGCTCCGCCTCCAGCACGGCGTTGTCCGCCGCGGTGACCTGCTGCGCTGCCATCTCTTCGAAGGCCTGCAACTCCGACAGCGACCACGTCTTGCATAGGTCCTTGCCCGCGAGTTGTCCCTGCAGCTGCTCGCTGTCTGCCGACTCGGACTCCACCGATATGCCCACCCTGGCCTTTTTGACTTTGGAGCCACTGGCGCGCGCACTGGGCCTGCGCTTCTTCGGCGCGGGCTCGGTCTCGCGAGAGCTGGGCTGCGAAGCGGCGTCCTGCGAGGAAGATGCCTCTTTGCGCTGCTTGCTCTTCTTCGCCTTCTTCGATGTCTTTGCCTTGGTCTGCTTCTTGCCTTTGCCGCGCTTCTTCTTGCTCGCGCGAAGCACCGACGACGAGGGGCTGTCATCCTGACTGCTGAGCAACGTGAGGGAGGACGACGTGTCCTCTGCCTGCATCTCGAACTCGCCGAAGCGCCGAGCCCGCGTGGTGTTCTTGTTGTCTTCCTTCACGGCCTTGGCGACGGCTGCCAAGAACTTGTCCTCGTCGTCGGGGTCCTGGAGCCAAGCTTGCAGGTGCTTGCTCTGCTTCCTGCGCTCTGGCACGCCCTTGGCCCACGCGCGCATATCCTTGGACACCGCCGCCACCTCCAGGATGCTCATGAGCCCCAGGAAGACTCCCGCCGCTGCTTCGGCCGCTGCGGCCAGATCTTCCCCGTGATCCCTCACCAAGTGCTTCACCTTCTTCAGCAGACTCTTGCATTGCTCCGGAACATCCTCCGGATTCCGGTCCACGTTGCGGGCCAGGTTCAGGAATTGTACCTTGTCCAGGAAGGTCGCCGAGGTCACCTTCGGCAACAGACTGTCCATCTTCTCCTGCAGCACCGGCCCGAGCAAAGCCGCACAGTCTATGGAAGCGGCCGCGAGGTTGAGCCCCATGGTGGGGCGTCGGAGTAGCTCGCAGCAGTCGGCATCCAGAATGGCCCTCAAGGCTTCGGGTTCCAGCGCCGCTTGTGCAGTGGACTTTTTCGCGCCCAGCATGAGAGGCCTTCCCCTTTCGTCCGGATAGGAACGCAACATCCACTTGCCCAAGAACTTGTACAAGTCCACACGCTTGACGTACTGCGACTCTTTGGGTTGCTCGCCGGCCTTGCCGGCCCCCTTGCTTCCGCCCTTCGCGATTCCGCGACGTCCCATGATGCTCAGGAGCGAAGGACTAAACACGATGCTTGGAGCCAGATTTCTGCAGCGCGGTGATAAGCTTTCCCGGCAGTAACCAGACCAAGCGAGGCAACACGCCACGCACTAGAAAATTGCAGCCGGCTACGTACAACGTACCTGTGCCGGACGGCGGTGAGGTTTCTTGTGAACGTATGCACTGCTCACGAATCGATCCAATGGCACCGTGCAGCACAGGAACGCCACTCCGCGCAGGTCCATTTTTCCTTGTCCTCGAGTTGACCCCTTTGCCAGCAGATGAGGGCTTCCTCACGCTGCCTCATTGGTCACCCGTGGCTACCTGGTACCGACAGCTGCCTACCACGCAAAGACACGAATGCCGTTGCCACGTTCTAATCTCCAACCAGCACGGACCTTCTGCTTCATGACTGTCGACCCGTGCTCCTGTTCAGCAAGGGAATCAGAAACCGGCACTCCGTGTCTGCAACAAGCCTTGCATGGGATGGCCACTCCAGCCTCGGCGAGCTCAAAGCTGCCGGAATCTGTTATATGTAACGAACCCACCTCGCACCTGGAGTCAGTGGAACTCAGCGGCCACCTGAAGCCAGACGTTGCCAGCACGAACCGTAGTTGCTGTCCGAGGGTCTGACCGTCATGGTACTTGTTCCAAACTGCTATTTTTATGCAAACTGCGCCACGACTGCGAATATCTCAGCCTGTCAAAACAATTCCCAGTCCAAGCCCTCGATTGCAAAAAAAATCTGTCTCACAGCAGCTGAAAGACCCCATGACGACCTCGAGTTGACCTCTTTGTCAGCAGATGAGGGCTTCCTCACGCTGCCTCATTGGTCACCCGTGGCTACCTGGTACCGACAGCTGCCTACCACGCAAAGACACGAATGCTGTTGCCACGTTCTAATCTCCAACCAGCACGGACCTTCTGCTTCATGACTGTCGACCCGTGCTCCTGTTCAGCAAGGGAATCATCAACCGGCACTCCGTGTCTGCGACAAGCCTTGCATGGGATGGCCACTCCAGCCTCGGCGAGCTCAAAGCTGCCGGACGCTGTTCTATGTAACGAACCCACCTCGCACCTGGAGTCAGTGGATCTCAGCGGCGACCTGAAGCCAGACGTTGGCAGCACGAACCGTAGTTGCTGTCCGAGGGTCTGACCGTCATGGCTGTTGTTCCATACTGCTATCTTTCTGCAAACTGCGCCACGACTGCGAATAGCTCAGCCTATCAAAACAGTTCCCAGACCAAGACCTCGTTTGCAAAAAATTCTGTCTGACAGCAGCTGAAAGACCCCATGACGACATCGCTTTACGACAGCAACAGCAGCTGTGTAATTTCTTTGCGATGACTGTCCAGTCTGCAAGCTCATCATCTGCGTGATCGGGAATCCTCCCTGCCGCTTCAAGTACACTTTGTGCTCTTTCTTGATTCACATTGTTTCAACTACTATCGTCACTGCTCCCTTGCTAAAACGAAGACCGTTCTTGAAGTGCCCTTGGTTAAGAAACAAAAAATTTAAAGCGGTCGTCGATGGCTGTGAGGTGCTGGCTCTGCCAATTTTCTGCCCGCCCTGCCCCCCCCCCCCCCCCGCCACTACCGCTACCACGACTACCGCCACCAGGCCTACCACTACCACGACGACGACGAGGACCACTACTAGTACTCAAGTAAATAGTAACATGTGGGTGGAAAAACCTTCCGCAACCGAACGGAGCGCCCTTAACTAGCATCCTCTTTTGGCCAGGCAGGGGCCGAGCATCATGTGCATCAGCGGGTCTTTTTGGGGTTTCAAACCTCCGTCGCAACTGAATCCTGCCCTAACAGTTCCCTGCATATAGCATCCACTGGCAGCGCATCGACCAACTGATCAAGAATCCCCTGGCCGTAGCACACTGGCAAGCACGCCTCCAACGATACATCACGAAACAGTTGCGGCTGCGGTCACGCCACCGTTGATCAGCAGCAACCACAGCTGTCAAGTTTCTTTGCGATGACCGAGAAGCTGAAAACCATTCGTCAACAAGGCATTCACGTTGCTTCAGCTACTATCTTAACCGATCCATTGCTACAACCAACACCTGTTCTTAAAGTGCCCTTGATCAAAATCAAGACGTGTTTTAAAGCTGTCGTCGATGGCTGTGACGTGCTGGCTCTGCCAATTTTATGCCCGCCCCCTGCCCCCCCCCCCCCCCCCCCCCCCCCCCCACCCTCCGCACGCTGCCCCTGTGACGTGCCGCTACAGCGACATCGCATCATGAGGCTACCTTCCGGCTCTAGGTGAGATATTGATCTACCTTCGCCCGCTGCGCAGGGCGGTTCTGCTCCGTCGCAACTGACTCCTGCCCTATGAAAGTTCAGTACATATAGCATCTACTGGCAGCGCATCGAGCAACTGATCAAGAATCCCTTGGCCGTAGCACACTGGCAAGCACGCCTCCAACGATACATCATGAAACCGTTGCGGCTGCGGTCACGCCATCGTTTCACGATAGCAACCACAGCTGTCAAGTTTCTTTGCGATGACCGAGAAGCTGAAAACCATTCACCAACAAGGCTGCCAACTCCGTGACGACGTCGCTTTATGATAGCAACATCAGCTTTCTAATCGCTTTGCGATGACCGTCCAATCTGCAAGCTCCTTCATCTGCGTGATGAGGAATCGTTGCTGGCGCCTCATCCTTTCACTTTCTGCTCCACCTTTCTGGAGTCACATTGCTTCAAACATATTCAGATGTTTCTGTTCTTAGGCCCCGAACACATCACGACATTGATACGAACCACCAAGAACTTAAGTGGTATGGCTCAAATTAAACATACTTAATTAACTTCAAAGTAAAACGACACCATGGATTTGCTCTAAAATGCACATTATTTGGCCGCCCCGCCCCCCCCCCTCCCCGTGTGCAACATCGGATCTCCACATGCTGGTGTTCGCTGCTGCAACCGGACCAGTAACTTCCCAGGTATCACATCAACGCCATTTCCTCCGAATCGGACCATCACCGGTATGATCGCCACAGCAAATTTAGGATTTAGCATCGACGTACTAATGACCTGGAGCTTAGTCGACGTGAGCGCTAACTACACATGCATAACGGCTGGATAAAATACACAGTGGGTAGGCTGGCAGCAGGTTAGATTTCGTTTCACTCCCAGCGACCACAACACAATTGCGTTCGCGCCTGCTCGAATCCGCGATTGGCGGTTCGCCGACATACAACTTTTATTTCCCTCGGGGAGGGGGTATGGAAGAATAGTCCCCGGGGTTTTTCGAATAAAAAAACCCTAAACCCGTGAAAGGTAAAAATTTGGGCGGTTTGGGGTGGGCTATCAAATGCAAAGACGGCACCCCCCCTGCGGACACATGACCTGGGGGGGGCAGCCGTGGCACTGTAGAAAACCCTAAACCCTAAACCCTAAACCCTAAACCCTAAACCCTAAACCCTAAACCCTAAACCCTAAACCCTAAACCCTAAACTGAAGGCCGACCCCCCACCGCAGCGAATGGGGTCGGCCGCAGCAGGCGGACCGGAAGGCGCCTGCCGGACCGTAGGCGATGGCTGAAAAGCGAGCCGTAGGTCCTGGACCTCAGGTCCACGCGGCTCCAGTGAATAGGCCGCTACTGTCAGCCTATATAATAATAACCCTAAACCTCAGTGCAAACCGGCCGGGCACACTTGGATTCCTCCTTTCTGGGGCCCCGGTAAACCTTGGTGCAAATGGCCGGGCACCCTTGGATTCCTCCTTGCTGCCTTTAAAGAGCCTTAAATTAAAGACCCGGAACCGAAAATTAAGGACCCGGAGCTTAAAATTAAGGACCGGACCCGAAAATTAAGGACCCGGAGCTCAAAATTAAGGACCGGACCTAAAACTAAGGACCCGGAGCCTAAAATTACGGGCCCGGAGCTTAAAATAAGAACTAAAACCTAAAATTGAGGACCCGGAGCCGAAAATTAAGGACCACCCGGAGCTTAAAATTAAGGACCGGACCTAAAATTAAGGACCCGGAGCCGAAAATTAAGGATCCGGAGCTTAAAATTAAGGGCCCGGAGCTTAAAATTAAGGGCCCCGGAGCCTAAAATGACCTAAAATTAAGGACCCGGAATCGAAAAGTAATGACTCGGAGCTTAAAATTAAGGATCGGACCTAAAATTAAAGACCCGGAACCGAAAATTAAGGACCCGGAGCTTAAAATTAAGGACCGGACCTAAAATCAAGGACACGGAGCATAAAATTAAGGGCCCGGAGCTTAAAATTAAGGGCCAGGACCTAAAATTAAGGACCCGGAGCCTAGCTTAAAGACTCGGAGCTTAAAATTAACCGGACCTAATTAAAATTAAGGACCCAGAGCCTAGCGCAGGCCCCCACAAAGCCTGCAGAAGGTCCTTCCCCGTAAACCCTGCAGAGGCCCCAGAGGCCACAAGCCCACCGAAGCCACCCAGAAGGGTTTTTGGGTCACTTTGGGGCCTGGAGATTGTCACTTGGGGGCCTGGAGATTGTCACTTTGCGCCTGGAGAAAGGACCCAGAGCTTTAAATTAAGGACCGGACCTAAAATTAAGGACCCGGAGCCGAAAACTAAGGATCCGGAGCTTAAAATTAAGGGCCCGGAGCTTAAAATTAAGGGCCCCGGAGCTTAAAACGACCTAAAATTAAGGACCCGGAATCAAAAAGTAAGGACTCGGAGCTTAAAATTAAGGACCGGACCTAATATTAACTACCCGGAACCGAAAATTAAGGACCCGGAGCTTAAAATTAAGGACCGGACCGAAAATTAAGGACCCGGAGCATAAAATTAAGGGCCCGGAGCTCAAAATTAAGGGCCAGGACCTAAAATTAAGGACCCGGAGCCGAAAATTAAGAACCCGGAGCTTAAAATTAAGGCCAGACCTAAAATCAAGGACCCGGAGCCTAAAATTAAGGGCCCGAAATTAAGGGCCAGGTCAAAATTAAGGCACCGGAGCTTAAAATAAGGACCGGACCTAAAATTAAGGACCCGGAGCCT